TCTCTCTCTCTCTCTCTCTCTCTCTCTCTCTCTCTTGCGCACAAGTGCTCGATCCGACGACCATCGCCTGCTCCACTTTCCCCCTCTCCACCTTGTGCCGCTCCGGCTCTCACTATCCACTCTCTCGCACACCGTAGAGTATCAAACACCGTTGTGTGGTGTTGCCGCACAGAGCAGAGTAGCATAGTTCAAGTGGAGAGACGCAGCATAGAGTAGAGGCGTAGAGTACAGTAGCAAAGTCGAAGTCGACCGTCGCAGCATACAGTGGAGTAGCAGCGTCGACCGAAGTGGGTCGCACGCGCACGCACAAACACACACAAACAAAAAGCACTAAATAACTCACCTTCAGTCATGCTGGCGCGCTCTAATGCACAGCCCAAGCATCAGCGTCCAACCTTCTCGATGCAGAGCCCGTCCCAATGCACAGTCCAATCTCCAGCACTATGCATGTGTGTGAGTTAGAGAGACAGAGAGAGAGAGAGAGAGGACTGTGCCAGACTGTTTCGTCAGACTTTGACCAACTCATCAGGAGGCTGAGCCCCGACAGTCTGCCCAGGATGGAATAAGGACTCACCACATCGCCCAGTGTGTGTGTGTGTGTGTGCACGTGTGTCGAACGCGTAGAGTGGAGCTTAGAGTAGCATAGAGTAAGGCAGTCCACAAAGTCGTTGAGTAGGTTAGTCTGTCTACGCAGAGTTTAAGAGTGGCGTAGAGTAGTCCACGGCGTCATATCAAGTACTTACCATCTAGAGTCCAGTCGCCGTAGCTTAGAAAGTATAGTCGGCGCCTACCGACGGCATCCAGTCTACCTACCGGGGCAATGCGCAAAAAGGTTGTTGCTATACGTTGTAAGCGCACACTGCCCCCGAATTGCGCATGGTACCGGCGCTGGACCGGTAACGTGCAATGGTACCCACACTGCCCCGGTACCATGGGTGATTCCGGCGCTGGCCCAGTAACATTCAGCAGTAACATGCAACAGTACCCGTGCAGGCGTGTGGACATGATACCGCGCATGGTACCGGTGCTGGCGGCCCCAATCGTCTGCTTGTCACAGGCCGAAAATTAGCGATAGTTATATATGTAGTGACACGTTCTCTCACCTACACATTTGGTGGGTGCTGTGGTTGAGGCACCGAGCCTCACCACCGCTGCTCTCTTATAAAAGACAAACTCCAACGGGCGTGGAAAAGTATAATGACAAGGAAATGGCAGTAGTAGATGCAGTACCTGTAGTGGATGCGCAAAATCTAGTAGATGTAGTAGATGCAGTAAAAGTAGTAAATGTAGTAGATGTAGTAGATGTAGTAGATGTTGTAGCGAATGTTGTAGCGAATGTAGTAGATGTAGTAGATGTAGTAGATGTAGTAGATGTAGTTGACGTAGTTGACGTAGTAGATGTAGTAGTAGATGACATAGCTAGAGCCTCACTGCGCCACTCACCAGATGTGAAAGGGACAAAATTGCTGGCAGTTTGATGACTGTATGAATTAGGTGCCATGGGAAGTTCAATCACCGTGCCTAAGGTCATTGCCCCTTCGAAAAGGGGAAAAAAAAGAAGAATGAAGCAGACGTTTTGTTGAAAATAGAAAAACGTCAACAATATGCCCTCGATGAAAGGACAAAAACTACACAGGGACTCTGCGCACCACTCACCAAATATAAAAACGTTGAGAAGTACGGCAGGTGCATCTTCCATGTTCTCCAGGGAATACATCCTCCATTCACCAAACGGCAAGTGCACGGTTGGTGAGCAGTGCACCAAGCCCTTTCATTTTCATCATGATTGCCCTCCTCCAGTTTTCTTGGCCATTCGCTTTTCCAGCCATGTTTTCCGGTACAAAGTGAATAGGAGGCGGAATACGCACTGCTTATCGAATCGCCAATTTCGCAGATAGCACAATCTGAGAACGTAGTCCATGTAGTAGATGGACTATGCAGCAATATTTTCCTGATTCCAAAATATGCATGAATTCCTGGATTCCAACATCGTATCAAGTTCAAACCTCAAAGACTTCTTGTATATCTATTTGCCAATTTGCTGGGTGTTCCCAGAAAGAGATCCAAAGACTGGACCTCGAGCCTAAAACTGGACTTCCAGAAGACTGTCCAATTTCTAAAAAGGAGCCAATAACGTAATGCAAATGAATGATCATCTACCACTTCCATAAACTGCCTACACCATCAGTGCATCACAATTGGACATCGTTACCATAGGGTAGAGCACAGCTTGGATATGGTTCCAGGCAAGGCTGAGTGAGACACAAGTGCTGAAATGGGCAGCTGAGTTCAAAACCAAATTGTGTGCAGCAGCCAAGTTTTCGATTTGCTCTTTGATACACTCATAAGCCCCTGTTAAAAGCAAACTGTGGGCAGGTTATGATTACAACAAATATCTCACACATAAGCCCCTGTTAAAAGCAAACTGTGGGCAGGTTATGATTACACCAAATATCTCACCTACACTTCACAACCATCCAAAGTTTCCTCTTTCCATTAACTTTACATTCACAGACAGAACTGGAAGTTGCATTGCGTGGATGGGTATGCTAGGAGTGACTGACAGCACATACTTTTGTTGCATGCATCATACATACATTTCGCCTACAATCTTCAACAAGAAGCCGGGTTCATGGACTTGTTTCCCATATCACAGATGATGGACTCATTCAACTACTCGACGTTTGTCAAATACACAAAGAGAGAGAAACCAAGACTCCTATAATACGCAGAGAAATCTTCCCTTGCACCTCCCAGTCCTTCACGAGTAACTTCTAATACTTTTCTCTACTTGAACAACATGATACCCAACACGGTTCAAAGTTGAAAAAACAAACTAAAAATATCAGATTTTCGGGAGCAGCCAGTCTCATGTTCACCCGCTCAACTTTGCTGGAGGAAAATGCAATTTCACCCTTCGGAACATTTTAATTTAGGGTTCCGAATCATTTGCCAGCTTACCAGGCAGACTTCCAGCGGGACCGGGATTAACCCAGGACCTGACCTGAATATTCAGATAGGACGAGTGGATGAGTCAGTTCAGTATTACCTTCAATAGACCAGTGATAAACACTTCCAGCAGTCACCAGGCCTAAAGTAGTAGATGAAATCCATTTCCAGAACTGGACCTGCGTGCAAACAACCGAAACAGCATGACCACGAATGGGGTTTTCCAATCCACACAACCCAGATGGCACCATCAACACATCAAAAAAGTGGGGGGGGGGGGGGGGGAACGAAAATGCTACGTGTTGTTATGCGCATTTCCCCCAAGGCGAAAAAGACACCAGTCTCAAAGGAACAAATATCTACCCATTGGAAGTCACAGGACCCATAGTGCCTACCTAACCCTAAAGGGACCTAGTAATAGGAAGCCACTGACGATCTCATCAGTCAACAGGATGGGGTCTATGCATCTGCACGACACAGATTTCATTCTACGACATAGAGACAACTCCCGCCTAGCGCCTGGGGGTTTAAATTTGGATCTTTGGACAGGGATAGGAGGATCAGGAGAGGGAAATACACAACAAAAGCATCAAAACGTCAACATCAAACTGAATACGGCATCTTCTGAACAGTAATAGATACTGTAACAGAAGAAAATCAACTGTGAATGAGGAAGAAGAATTTTATTTTTCTAGCAAGAGAGAAACTAACCTGGTGGGACTTCCTTTCATCACCTCCGCAGGACATGAGGACAATTTTCCCAGGAGATTTAAGAGAAAGACTCAAAGACGGACTACTGTTGGCCATAACCATTTGTGTAAGAGGGAGACAAGGAGAGACGCATCAAGTAACACTCCTCCATGCTACCCCTCCGCCTCCACATCAAAGTTGTCTAACTGGGGATACTACAACTGTATGCTTACCCATGCCTGGATTTGTGTGTGAGCTTCTGCAGAGTAGGGTCACAGACAGCAAAATTGAAGCCCAACCGCTCCGACAACTCCCTTACAAAGGAAGGTCAAACGAGAAAGTAAGACTGGACAAAGAAAGAGGAAGACAACACCACCCCTGGAATATCTCCCAAACACACTGTAACAAACTACCTCTTATCCCCCAGCATCTCCCAAAATCCCCCACCCAAACCCTGCCCCTCTTGCACTCTCCACCGCAACAGATGCATTCCCTACCGCAGACACCATTGCCAAACCCCCCAAACAATGGTTTCAGAAGGGGGGGTTGAGACTCAGGGGTAGGAATTTGGGGTAAGGGGTTTATGGGCAGCGGCCCACGGTCTGAACAGTGCCATACTGAACGCTTCCCACGCATGACCCTGCTCCCACGTGGGCGCAGGTCGGTCGGGGCCAAGATTCTTTTTTACGGCGCCAGACTTTGGTTTCCAGTTCGGCGGCGAGTGTTCGAACATCATTTTTCCGCAGTTGTTTATTTCACACCCAACTATCGCTTCAAGTCTGGCGCTGAGTGTTCAAATATTGTTTTTCTCTCTACTTTTTTTTTTGAGTTTGGAGGCGTTCAGGTCAAGGTCGGTTCAGATCTGTGAGAATGGAGTTTGGGCAGGTGATTGTGCAACAATCATGTAGACCACTCAGGCGGAAGGCTGTTTTTGGTGCGGTTTTGGGTTGCATGAATGTGCGCTATCACGTGTGTGTGTGTGTGAGAGAGAGAGAGACAGAGAGGGCGGTGTTCGCTTCGAGGGTACTGGCATGCAGGTGTGCACATGTGCTATCATGTGTGTACTGAATCTGCAAGTGTAGTAGTGTATATTTTCATGTTCTAACGGAAGATTCATTTGATGTTGCTCATCCTGTCGATAGGGCTAGCGTGAGGCCAGACCCGGGGATGGAGACTTACCTGTTGGCCGGTGTGTTGCTCATCCTATCAATGGAAAAACCTCTCTCTCTCTCTCTCTCTCTCTCTCTCTCTCTCTCTCTCTCTCTCTC